CAAAAATTAATAATTTTTAATCTGGAGGTAGCCATGGTGAACTATGACATTTCGACGTCATACACCTCAGTTCCCTCCGTGACCGTGGGTGCTGTAAAGTGCTTGAAACATCGGGAATATAAAATAAGTTAATATACGCGATAAAATCCGTAAATTATTTTTATTTAAACCCCAACAGTAACTTACGGAACATACCAGGTAATTGGATATCCATGACAGAAATAAATCTATTAATGCCTACTCAGGTCATAATTTCTGTCACATGTTTAATATAAAATAATTGAAACAAGTTTATTCATTATGTAACCATTTATATACCAAAATGAACTTAACAAAACATTGATTCTTATGACACTAAAGTTTATTCAAAATGACCTCCGTGATTTTGAATACAGGCCTTCAATCTGCGCGGCCAGTCGTTTATCGCAGCACGGACGAGGTCCATGTCAATATTGGCGGCTGCCTTAATCAAGGATGTCTTGAGTGACTCCAAATTGGGATGAGGCTTTGAGCACGCCTTTTCCTCCAAGTGTTGCCATATCTTGTAATCTAAAGGATTCAAATCTGGACTGGAGGAGGGCTAGTCTTCGTACCGGATGAAGTCGATTTCACGCGCCGCCAGCCAGTCTTGTGTGCTCTTCGCTCTATGAGTTGGCGCCGAATCTTGTTGGAATACTCAGTGCCTGTTATTGAACATGGTATGAGAAACAGGTTCCACAAGGTTCGTCAGGACTGTATTTTGATACACAACTGCATTAGTTTTTACACCTTTCTCACAAAAATGTCTTTTAAGCCCCAATAAGAAACTCCCAACCATACCATGAGCGAGGATGGAAAATGACCTCGTTGGACACGCGGAATACGGTTGCTCGCTTCTTCACTACTGTGTGCGTACACCTTATCATTTTGTTTGTTGTAGCTCTCTTCTACGGTAAAATTTTTTTCATCCGAAAAAAGAATGTCCCGATATTTTTTTCCCGCGTACCGCTTCAACAAAGCGCGGCATCTCTTCAGTCTCAGGTCCATTAGACGAGCATTCAAACGATGTCCTGTTTTTGTTCGATATGCCCGAAGCCCTAAGTCTTCATTTAACATCTTTTTCACCGTGGTTCTGCTTAACCCCATCTGAAGAGCCAACATTTTCTGCTTACGTTAGGGATTTCTTTGGATTCGCGCCTTCACAGCTTTTATCACTGCTGGAGTCCTAACAGACCGAGGGCGACCACTTCTTGACCTGTCATCTACACTAGAGTCTTCATTGTATCGTTTGATGGTACGATAAACGAATCTTTTAGTTATATTCAAATGTTTCAGTATGTCAAAAATTTGAATTGGCGCGTAACCGCAACGATGCAACGCAATAACTGCAACACGGTCTTCTTTAAGCGTCCACTCCATATTTAAAATGAGTAAAATTCTAAAAAGTATACAGTTTTATTTTCATGAACAATTCGAAATTCGAATTCAATAAGCTTTCCTGTGGCCAGCATTCTAAAAGAAAAGTTTTTACTGTGTGACAATACTTATGACCTGACTAGGTACATTTGTATCTTCTCTATATATAAAAATCAATTGTTTCCCGTTAATCTCGCTAAAATTCGAAACTAACTCGACTGATTCTGATGAAATTTTTTGTGTGTGTTTGAGTGGTACTTGTCCCGAATCATGCAGCCTCAGTCCCTTCCCCCCCCCCCGTGACCACGGGTGCTTTGGAATGTGTGCTTGTTTGTCATCGTTATTTTATAAAAAAGTAAAAGCCTATCTGAAGTCGTGGATTTAATTATATTATTTTTTTTTTATAGGACAAGGGTGACAAACGAGCACACAGTCCACCTGATGGTAAGTGGTTTCTGCGGCCCATAGACATCTACATACATCCTCTCTTACAAGTCAAAATGTAGATGCGTTGTCACCCGTGAGGACTAAGATGGAATGCCTCATTTCCAGTATTATGCACTGTATCCTGACACTGGTTTCAGAAGCTATTTTGTGAGAAAATAAAGTTATTTTTAGTTCTGTGATATCAGTTTTACTGTCTATTAAAGATTTAATTTTTAAGTATTTTTGTAGAATAAATATGACAAACGAGCACAGAGTTCACCTGATGGTAAGTGGATGCCTTGGCCTATAGACATCGACGTCAACCCTCAATAAACCATCGAAAGTTTGACGTTTTTTTAACCCTGAGGACTAAAATAAAATGTCTTGTTACCAAAAAGTGTGTACTACGCACGTAGGAAGTTATACTTCTTTAGCCTAACAAAAGAAAAAAACTTGAGTGACAATTACCCACTGAAGTTGTCGCTTTTAGGTGACAGTGTGCGCGCGCTACGTAACAATTTCATGGTGTAGTTTTTAGGTGTCGGTATGAGCGCGCGTCGTAAAAATTCACTCACATCATTTTCCCCAAACGCCACAAAAGAAGTGTCACTTCAAAACGGGTCTCTGATTTCCACCATAAGAAGCACGGCAATATTCATGTTGATATTCTGCGAGCCTACCCCAGTCCAGCTGACGCACGTAAATATTGAAAGTTTTTTTTTTAAATAAACCCACATAGTTAAAAGATTTTTTTTCAAATCATTGACGGTCATGGTTTTTTAATTAAAAAATAAGATTTTTAAAGAAGGAATAGTGTCGGATAAGACTCGCTCTTGGATTAGTACACACACTTGCGTGTGGCTCTAATGATGATGTGTACATCTGACCATAGAACCTCTCAATTTCACTCAAAATGTCAGGTGTTTCGGAAACGATGCTACAACACTATGTCTCCAGCTTTGACAGTTGGCTCTTTCTGGCAGACAGATCTCTAGCAAAGACTTTGGGGCCTTGGTTACGCTCGATCGCTTCTTCAATACAAGCTGTATTAAAGTTGCGTAAATCCTACCGCATGCATTTGGAGATCTGTCTGTTCAGTTGCCTGTATGCTGTCAAAACTGTTGAAGACTGCAGCTTTATTTCCCGTCTAACAGCCATGAGATTAAGAGTGTGATCGGAGAGTTGTTGTGCTCTTCTTCGGCGGGTCTTGCAGAACTTAGCTCTGACTGCATGGACAGTTTCCACGAGCTTATCGCTTATTCATTCTTTGTTTTCGTTTCAATAAAGTTTATTCTGTGTTAAATTGTGCAGGAATTACTCTTGAACTCGTATTAGCACGTTAAGTTTTCTTGTAACTTACGAACAACCGTACCGTTATTTCTCATGTGGTAAGCCCAAGGTGAAACATAGGATACAATTTAATCCTCAGTAAATTTAAAGCTAATTAAATCAGCCTTGTTTGTGAGGCATAACCCAAGTTCAAGTTTTATCAGACAACTTTATAGTAATATGCTGGACGTCAGACTGAATAAGATGTGGAATAAGAGCCTTTAAAACTGAAGAAAGCCGTGGTTAATTATAATATTGGAACGTCGAACACCTCTGTTTGTATGACCATGGGTGCTGTAAAGTACTAGAAACGTCAGGAATATAAAATAAATTAATAATATACGATACAATCCGTAGAACTAGTTTCATTCAATGTGTAGTCTTCGCGTAAACATAAGAAATAATTACAAATAAGGTCGTCTCGGTGATTCATTACATGTCTGCAGTTTTTTGTGAGTTCATAAAATGTATAATAGGTTAAATTTAAAATAAATTGCCGTTCTGCAGTACTGGCCATTTCAAATCAAAATAATTTTTGTTTGGTAATGAATTATAATTTCAAATGAATTTTATTTTAAAATCATTGAATTCTTTTTTCAAAATTATTCATTTGTTTATTGAATGTAATCGCAAAATTTTTTCATCGCAATTGAAGCTTTTTCGTCATCATCGTAGGTTATCGTAGCATTGAATTTGAACCAAAAACACATTAATATAATTTTTATTTATTTATTCTTTATTACACTAAATATTTGTACAAAAGGCGAGCTTAATGCTATATGGCATTCTCTACCAGCTAACCTTGGGTAGAACAGAGAGTGAGTTTGGGCAGTTAAGTTGTCATGATATAATTCAGTTCAAATATAAATAAATACACACATTTATACATATATATCTCAATAAATCTTTATATATAAAAATTACGTGTCACATTGTTTATCCGCGATGTTCAATGCTTTAATATGTTATAATATTTTTGATACTAGATGGCATTGTTGAACAATTTACTTATACAAAATTATATTACTACTGTTACATATAAATGACATATAAGAGTTTTATTAATACAATGTTTTGACATTAGATGGTACTGCTAAAAAATTGTTGCAATCCTAAATCTCGATATCATTTGCCCTTTGCAAATAGTATAGCTATGATGCATGATATCGTAATAAAGCACTTGTATCAAGCACTCGGTAGTTTTATTATAACCCGTAGTAGTCAATTCGATATCTGGTTTGGTCATTGTACATGGTCCTTCGAGCCGGATGTGTTTTTGAAAAATTCGCACTAGAAACCAGTGGTGGATCGCCACTGAAGGTGCGCACCGGACGATTCTAGTGAATCGTACCGGTTGATTGAGTGCAGTGCGGTGTTGTGCGCCGACCGCATTCAGTCGAGGAGTACAAAGAAAGAAGTTGGACGCAGAGCAGCAGCGACGTCATAAACGTGACGTCACATCCGTGACGTGTAAAGCTACGCGTGCGGAAGGAACAATCTGCAGTGGAGCCATCATAACAGTGACGTGAACGACGTCATTGTCCGAGTTGACAGGTTTGCAAGTGAAAATCGTGAGTACATTTTTCTAATTTATCAGTGAAGTTTAAAAAGTTGATAATTTGAAGGATTTCAATAACTTTTAAAATATCAAGAAGTTTGTTGAAGACTTAGAATAATTAATGATAAATGTAAACTTTAATAATTTGTTCATGTTAGTTAGTAACTTAGAATAACTATTCAAAAAAGATCAAACGGGGAACCTATGCCCAATTTTATGTAACTTCCTTTATTTTCCTAAACACTTGTAAAATTTTGTGAACAAAAAACGTTGCTTTGGATATTCTACCAAAATGTCGTTGTCAGCCCTAATAAAGAGTCAGCTAGGATATAAGTCTATGATAGAAAATGCTTATGAAAATTATAAAAAATCACCAAAAGAACGCTTATGTAAAGAGTCGTATTTACTCACTAGGTTAGATTCATTAGAAGAAAAATGGCAGATATTCGCAGAAACGCATAAAAAAATGTCTATAGAGTTGTCAGAGCAATTAGTAGAATCTAAATACTACAAAGAAAGTGTTTATGAAAGTGTAGAGGAAATGTATATTGATTATAAGTCTGATATCAGAGAAGCATTATTTGTTCTAAAGACTCAAGCTAGTGTCTCAAGTTCTTGTTCTCATTTAACTTCTAAAGTTGAAAGCAATGTTAAATTACCTAAGATAAACATTCCCACTTTTTCGGGGTCATATGTAGAATGGACAACGTTTAGAGATTTATATGTATCATTGATCCATAATAACTCTTCAATAGATGATGTGCAAAAGATGCACTATTTGAAAGGGCATCTTTCAGGAGAAGCCGAACAGCTTTTAAGGCATGTACCTATAACATCGGCTAATTACCAAGAATCGTGGTTAACACTCAACAGTCGTTATAATAATAAAAAATACATTGCGAATTGTTTATTGAAGCGTTTTATGAATCAACAAAGCATCGGCAGCGAGTCATGTAATGCAATTAAAAACATGTTAGACGTTACCAATGACACGTTACATGGTTTGAAAAATTTGGGAATAAATGTAGATTCATGGGATACAATTGTTATATACATAATTGGTTCAAAATTGGATTCAGAGTCCCGAAAATGTTGGGAATCAAAATTAAGCACTTCAGATGAACTGCCAACGTTGAACCAATTAAGAGAATTTCTAGAAACCCGATTTCGGTCACTTGAGTTCATGGATCCTAAACAAAGAAGCAAACCAAATGTTTCAAACCAAAAACCTAAGGTAATACACTCCATGGCAACCAGCTCTAACGCTGTAGCCAAATTTAACTGTCCTTATTGCAATAATGAGCATAAAATATCTAACTGTAAAGAATTTGCCGCGGTTGGTTATAACACTCGACATAATTTCGTCCAAGATAATGGTCTTTGCTTTAATTGCTTAGGTCGTAACCACTCTGCTAACACGTGCCGTTTATTCACGAGATGTCGCATTTGTAAGCATAAGCACCACTCATTGCTTCACCCAAAACCAATAACAGAAACACAAAAAGCTGTTTTGTCCAAGCCAGATTTGTCAGTTGAAGTTAAGTCTGTACTGTCAAAGATAAAGACAGCTCAAGAAAAGCCGGAATCGACTACGAACATTACAGCGCATTTTTCTAAAAAGATAGTACCTAATCAAATTCTTCTAGCAACTGCACTTGTTGTAGCAGAGGCAAGAAACGGTTATGCCCACTTGATCAGAGCTCTACTTGATCAGGGTTCGCAAGCATCATTTGTTACAGAGTCAACGGTACAAGTACTTGGCCTCAGGAAGATACCCAGTAGAAGCAATATATCAGGAGTAGGCTGCGATAAGAGATCTCTATCTTCTAAGTATATCGTAATGATAAACATTCAATCGCGTTTTAGACCCTAGCTTCCAAATACAAGTGCGTGCGCATGTTTTAGGCTCGATAACTAGTCTACTTCCATCGGAGAAGCTAGTTAATGTAGATTGGCCAGAATTGGCTAATATCACTCTTGCCGACCCGCAATTTTACAGCCCAAGTAAAATAGACGTTTTACTTGGTGCAGACGTTTACAGTCAGGTTATAAGAGAAGGGTTGGTCAAGGGTCCTAATGGCATTCCAACTGCTCAGTGTACTGCCTTAGGATGGATACTATCTGGCCCCACACAGTTACCTGATCATAATCAAACACCTTTATCTCATTGTCACCATAATATTATTAGCATGCACTCTCAAACTGATGACAATGAATTACTAAAGAGATTTTGGCAAATTGAGTCCGATTTCCGTGAAAGCAAGATTCTTAACCAGGAAGAACAGCGATGTGAAGAATATTACAGTAATACCACTCAACGGGATCCAACAGGTCGATACATAGTGAGACTTCCCTTCCGTGAAGACAATCCTCAATGTAAGTATGGGAATTCCAGAGACATTGCAATAAAGCGATTTCATCTTCTTGAAAACCGTTTCAAAAAGAACTCAGAATTCAAGGCAAGATATTCCGAAGTCATTCATGAATATTTGAACCTAAGCCAGATGCAACTTATAACTGGCAGTGACCTTAATAAATCGGAATCAGTGTATTTACCCCATCACGCCGTTATAAGAGAGGATAAAATTACTACGAAGGTTAGAGTAGTGTTTGACGCCTCTTGCAAGGGAACAAACGGAGTATCTCTAAACGATACATTGATGATTGGCCCCACGCTTCAGCAAGACTTACGTCATATTATTATCCGATGGCGTATGCATCCAATATGTCTTAGTGCAGATATTATGAAAATGTATCGCCAAATTATCGTTGCAGATCAAGACACAGACTTCCAAAGGCTAGTTTGGAGAGATGAGCCTGAGTCTGAAATTAAAGAATTCAAATTAGTAAGGGTTACATTTGGCACATCATCGGCTCCCTACCTAGCAGTAAAGACACTACATCAGGTCACAATTGATGAAGGTAAGGAATTTCCCAATGTAGCTGAAACGGTAAAAACGGATTTCTACGTGGACGATCTGTTGACTGGATGTCAGACAGTGGAAGAAGGAAAAGGCATTTATGAAGATATGAAAAGGTTACTGAAAAAGGGAGGTTTTGAATTGCAGAAATGGGTAACAAACAACAAAGATTTAGCAGAAGAAATAATGGATGGACACGGAAAGGAGGTAGGAAAGGTTGATATTAAGATCGATAAGGTAGTTAAGGTATTGGGTCTTTTCTGGGATAAAGAAACGGATAATTTTCAATACAGTGTACAACTTCCTGAATTGAATAATCCTATTACCAAGAGGAAGGTAGTAACGAGCATCTCACGTCTGTTCGACCCCTTGGGATGGCTAGCGCCTTGCATCATCACAGCTAAAGTAATGATCCAGAAATTATGGCTGGCAGGAATAGACTGGGATGACGAACTGCCAGATGAGTTACTAAAGGAGTGGAATTTTTACACATCTGAGCTAATAAATATTCGCGAGCTTAGTATTCCAAGGTGGCTCAAGACTAAAGTAGATGATACTTGCATGGAGCTTCAAGGTTTTTGCGATGCGTCCAACTCTGCATACGCTGCGGTCGTTTACTTAAGAGCGATTGATGCTAAAGGTAATATACACGTCAATCTAGTTACGGCAAAGACTAAGGTTGCTCCAACTATGCAAATCTCCATTCCTCGCCTTGAACTTATGGGAGCAGTTCTTTTAGCTAAGTTAATCACAAATGTGGCTAATATTCTGGGAATCGATCATAACAATATACACGGCTGGACCGACTCCACTGTGGTATTGGCGTGGCTCAGCAGTCATCCTAGTCGGTGGACAACGTTTATAGGCAACAGAACGTCAGATGTTCTGTCAAATCTGGACAATACGCAATGGGCACACGTTCGATCGGCCCAAAATCCAGCAGATCTCGCTTCCAGAGGCTGCACTCCTTTGGAACTTGCTGAAAATAGCTTGTGGCTGCAGGGTCCATCATGGTTAAAAGATGGCAATATTATTTACAAAAGGCCAAAGTCCATCTCGACTACTTTGGAACAAAGAAAATTAAAGGTCCACGCTGTAACTAATAGTCAATTTGCTACTGATTTCGATCTATGGAAAAAATTCTCGTCATTACAAAGGCTTATACGAGTTGTTGCCTTTTGTCGCAGATTCCTAAGGTACAAAAGAAATAGTAGGTTTAAACCTTACCTTACAAGCACCGAGCTGCAGGAATCTTTAGACGTTTGTATAAAACAATGTCAACTCGCAGATTTAAGAGATGCCAAGCAAAAATTGAAACCGTTAAGCCCTTTTCTTGATGATAAGGGAATAATGAGAGTGGGAGGTAGAATTCAGAATGCTAATCTTCCTACAGATACTAAGCATCCTATTATTCTTCCCCATAAGAGCCACTTTACCAATTTAGTTATTGATGAGGCCCACCGAAAGACATTACACGGAGGTCCAACACTCATGCTAAACCATTTGCGCACAAAATATTGGATTATATCGGCTAAGAGCCTAGTTAAAATGCATGTGCGTAATTGTGTAGTGTGTGTTCGCCAAGCGGCAGTGACAAAAAATCAGTTTATGGGTCAGTTACCATTTAGCAGAGTAACACCAGCTAGACCATTCCTTCACAGTGGTGTGGATTTTGCTGGCCCAATTAATGTCCGAATGTCTAAGGGAAGAGGTAATAAATCATACAAGGGTTATATTAGTCTTTTTGTATATATGGCAACAAAGGCCATACATTTAGAACTAATAAACGATCTCACTAGTGATGTCTTCATAGCAGGCTTTAAGCGTTTTGTAGCTCGTAGAGGACATGTGAGTGAAATATGGAGCGACAATGGAACAAACTTTGTTGGAGCATCCAAGGAACTTCTTAAATTCGTCACCGCTGAACAGTCATCAGTCGCTCTTGAAATTCGTGAGTGGTTAAGCAACAATAGTGTTTCATGGCATTTCATTCCTGCTCATGCGCCAAACTTTGGCGGGCTATGGGAAGCAGGCGTGAAGGCTATGAAATTTCATTTAAAACGAGTGATTGGCGTTTCTACAATGACATATGAAGAGTTAACCACCGTTCTCACGCAAATAGAAGCATGTCTAAACTCAAGGCCTTTATCGATATTACCAGATAATCACAGTGATCCCGCGCCTCTAACTCCAGGACATTTCCTCGTTGGCGAAGCTCTAGTAATTGTACCAGAACGAAACTATGAACATAGTAACATCAGTACTCTGAGACGCTGGCAAATGACTCAAAGAATGGTACAGGATTTTTGGCGAAGGTGGTCCAAAGAGTATTTGGTGAATTGTTTACAGAGATATAAATGGTCAAAGATAATACCCGAACCTGAAATTGGAAACATAGTTTTAATTAAGGAGGACAATCTTCCTCCAGGCCGTTGGCTGTTAGGAAGAGTGGTTGCGAAGCATCCTGGCTTAGACCAAATCACTCGCGTTGTGACTTTGAAGTGTGGTCAATCTCTCTTAAAAAGACCAACTTCAAGGTTATGTATTTTGCCTGTTACACAATAATCATAATTTATCTCACGGTTGCAATAGCTAGTGCTTAAATTAGATTAAGTATGTTTTTTTCATGCCTAAGAAACATATAAATTAAGCCTACTGCCCAGTTATGTCATGGTGGGCGGAATGGAAAGAACGTTTAATAACGTTCTTGGTGGGCGGAATGTTCAACGCTTTAATATGTTATAATATTTTTGATACTAGATGGCATTGTTAAACAATTTACTTATACAAAATTATATTACTACTGTTACATATAAATGACATATAAGAGTTTTATTAATACAATATTTTGACATTAGATGGTACTGCTAAAAAATTGTTGCAATCCTAAATCTCGATATCATTTGCTTTTTGCAAATAGTATAGCTAAGATGCATGATATCGTAATAAAGCACTTGTATCAAGCACTCGGTAGTTTTATTATAACCCGTAGTAGTCAATTCGATATCTGGTTTGGTCATTGTACACGCGATGAACTCCTAAACTACTGATCTGATTTCAATAAAATTTTTCAAACTGAGCGCAGTTTGGTCGAACTTGAGAGATAGGATAGTTTTTATCCCGAAAAGTGACCCTCAATATTTTTTTATTGCGAATTTAAGAATTTTTTACAGGAAGGGTCTTCAGAAAGGGCAGAACAACGTCTGCCTGGCCAGCTAGTACATATATAAATAACAATAAACATATAAAATAAGTTGACTCAACTTTGTAGGCTACGGATATGGTCATATACTTTTCTTTTAAAAACATTTTTGGCAGGTATTGTTCGCTGAACATATTATATTATATAATATGTTTGGCTATCTTTGGCTTAATGTATTATGTTGACTAATTCCGTTTGTACTTAATATTCATCACCTCAACAGGATAATAATATAATTGCTATTCACAATTTCCACATTCACAAGCTCCATTTTTTCCTTAATATTCTTTAACTAATCAGGATAACATTATAATGTAATTAGTGTTCGTGTAGTAACAAAGATAAAATTATTCGTGCAAACATAATATTTGTGTGGTGGTGACGTGTATAAAGTCTCAGGGTCAATCATGAAATATTCACAACCTTAAGGAAAGTTACTGATTTGTTATATTTACAGTAGTACCACAAATTTAATAAAATAAATTTTAGGGCGTTTACCATGTTTATTTAAATGCTTCGGGTGCTTTTGACGTGCGGGTTGTTTAGAGCGGATGTTGTATCCATTTAAGTAAGTTTAATTTTGAAAGTACGTAAAAAATATTAAATCATCTATTTCGTCTGCGTAGTTTACGTTACTACTCTCTTACCTATATGTGTCGCTAACTAGCAGTGCTTGAACTGCTGTGTAATGAGCTAAAGAATATAGAGAGTCAGTATAGTAACAGGGTGTAAGACATTCCATTTTAGTCCTCAGAAACATCAAATAAATAAGGCTACAGTTACGTTGTCACCATCCAAGGTGGCAACCAACCAGTAAAAATATCTTTTTACTCGTCAGTCACCATACAAAATACAGGAGCATATTTTTATGTGATATGGGTGACAAACGAGCACACAGTCTACCTTATGATAAGTGGTTGCTGCAGCCCATAGACATCTACATCTATCCTCTATTACAAAGCAAAATGCAGATATGTTGTCACGCGTGAGGACTAAGACAGAATGCCTCATTTTCGGTAAAAAGGGTCTTCGGTTCTTTTTAAGCTGCTATTTTACGTTGGTATTCTGTGAGAGTGTACTATTTTCAAGATGATAATCTGTGGTGGCGTGGTCCATCCGTAACACTGAATATATTTGAGCTATTTTTTAAAGAAATTCAAACACCTTTACTTAGTGGACGCCAAAATTTACACCTTCATTTATTCTAAATAAAATAATTTATTCAAAATTAAATTGAAAACTATAATGTTTTTGATTAAGAAAAATAAAATCTTAAATAACATGGCATAAAACCATCTCAAAAGAAACTTTTTACTAGTTATTTTTGAAATACGAGACATTTTTGAGTTGTTGGTTTTACGATAATCAATGCACAATACGTAACGACATACAATACCAAGTGCATCATAACATGCAATCAGCAGGTCGAATAATTGTGGATCGTAGAATTGATCATGTCATAAATTAGTCCATTATTTCGTGAAATGGGAGTATTTCCTGAAATTTTGCATTGTTTGTGTACTATTATATAATATAGCTTGACCAGATCATTGAATAGAGAGCGTTTGACGATATTACCAACTAAACACAGCATTACTATTTCATGATACGCTCATATCATATAAATGGTTTTAATATGCACCACTTGAATTGCGTATTTTTTAACAGAAACAGAATTTTTAACGGAATCCACCTCACTTTATGCATATTATTTATAATATGAATAGCCTCACCTTATTCTACTGTCGCTCATATTACTAGATATTCTATGATATGGTTAAAAGTGCATGAAGAAATCGTAAATGGAGGATAATCGACATACGTTGACATTTATACGATATGGTCACTATTAATTGGCTATATCATGAATTTAAAAAAAAAAACGTTACCCCCACACTAGGATTTTCTCCTGTGTCATGGAGGCAGTTTACTAACATAAATTGCACAAGGACAAACATCCAGACCCGTAACAATTATTTGTAGGCCATACAAATACTTGTTCTGTGCGGGATTCGAACCCGCGGCTCCCAGCACAACAACTCATTGTTAAGCCACTGCGCCACGGAGCCGTCAAAAATGGTCGGGCATTTCCTAATATGGTCAATTCTACAATCTGGCCTCGAGATATATAATACATACCTTCAGCATAATACACATCAAAACTTATCCCTGTTCATAAACATTTAATTAAAAACAGACAATAGGGATAATTTATATTCGTGGAAAATATTTTAGCAAAATAAATTACTTAATTAGATGTCTTCAACATTTTAATTACAAATAACTTTTAAATTACAGGGTATCAATGATTATATTCCTAAGTTTATCAATAGAAATATAGGGGGAGGCCTATGTTCAGCAGTGGACTTGTGAAGGGCTGTAATGATGATGATGATGATGAATGATTATATTAAAAGATGCCAGTGGCTACGGAGGATGATAAGGGAGAAACGTTACAAAGGATTTCGTTATGTAATTTAATAAGATTTTATATCGCTATTGCCGTGTAGTGGCGGTTAAGAATATCCACTACCCCATATCTTCCCGTGGGTGTCGTAAAAGGCGACAAAGGGAAACAGGCAGGAGATGGGCAGCAGCATCTTCCTGATAATAGCCAAAATAACAATAAAAAAACTGCGGTTGCCAACCCGCTCGCCAAGCGTGGCAACTATGGCAATATACCCCCCATGAGCAATTACAAAAATAATAGGCCCCCAGTCCCCGGCGGCCCCGCTATTCCTGGCTACGGTGGCGACCATGGTAACGGCGGGGCAGGGGGTGCTAAGAATCTCCGGTGGAGGTTCGGTTGCCACCTACGACGACTCGACCTGGCAACATACAACGCACGCACCCTGAGGACTGACGAGAAGATTGTGGAGCTGGAAGAAGAGATAGACAAGTTACGCTGGCATATTATAGGATTATCCGAAGTCCGAAGAGAGGGGGAGGACACGGTAATCCTCGAATCCGGCAACTTGCTCTATTACCGGGAGGGCGACCATCTGTCCCAAGGAGGTATCGGATTTATCGTCCACAAGTCTCTCGTTAACAACGTTGTAAAGATTGAGAGTGTGTCGACGAGGGTTGCGTACCTTATACTCAGAATCACCAAACGGTATTCGCTGAAGGTCATACAGGTTTACGCACCAACCTCGGCACACCCCGATCAGGAGGTGGAGGAAATGTATGAGGATATTTCTAGAGCCATGCATTCCTCCAAAACCCAATATACGGTGTTAATGGGAGACTTCAATGCAAAACTAGGCACAAGAGAGAACGGTGAGCTGAAAGTAGGGAAATTTGGAATAGGGCAACGGAACCCAAGGGGCCAGCAGCTGGCCGACTTCATGGAGAAAGAGGGACTCTTTATGATGAACTCTTTCTTCCAGAAGCGGCCCCACTGGAAGTGGACCTGGTCGAGCCCCGACGGTTCGACAAAAAATGAGATTGACTTCATTATGACGACCAGACGACAACTGTTCAGTGATGTCTCAGTGATCGCGAGGGTGAAAACCGGTAGCGATCACCGAATGGTTAGAGGCACACTGAACCTAAACGTTAAGTTGGAGAGGTCTCGTCTAATGAAGTCAACGCTCCGTCCCCCTCGTGCTCTTTTCCAAAGTCCCGAAACCTTTCAGCTCGAGTTACAAAACCGTTTTCAGTGCCTAGAAGACTGCAATGAAGTGGACGATTTGAATGACAAGCTCGTGGAAACTGTCCATGCGGTCGGAGCTAAGTTCTGCAAGACCCGCCGCAGAAGAACACAAAAACTCTCCGATCACACTCTTAATCTCATGGCTGTTAGACGGGAGATGAAGCTACATTCTTCAACAGATTTAACAGCATACAGGCAACTGAACAGACAGATCTCCAAATGCATGCGGCGGGACTTACGCAAATTCAATACAGCTCGTATTGAAGAAGCGATCGAGCGGAACCGAGGCTCCAAAGTCTTTGCCAGAGATCTGTCTGCCAGAAAGCGCCAACTGTCAAAGCTGAAGACAGAATGTGGCAGCATCGTTTCCGGGGCACCTGAGATTTTGAGTGAGATTGAGAGGTTCTATGGGCAGCTGTACACGTCATCGTTGGAGCCGCACGCAAGTGTGAGTAACGATCCAAGAGCGAGTCTTATCCGACATTATTCCGATGATATCCCGGACGTCAGTCTAAGTGAGATTAGAATGGCTCTCCAGCACCTTAAAAACGGCAAGGCCCCAGGCGAGGATGGAATTACAGCGGAGCTTCTGAAAGCGGGTGGAAGACCGGTACTTGAAGTCCTTCAGAAGCTCTTTAATTCCGTCCTCCATGGTGGCATTACACCGGAGGCGTGGAGCAGAAGTGCGGTGGTCTTGTTCTTCAAGAA